ATTGTTCCAAATAATTGCACAAAAAATAAGAGCAAAACTCTGTAGATCACAGTCTGGTTGGCAGGCTGAGGCTTACTTGAGCTTCTCCAGGGACCAATAGTGAGTGGCTCCGTTCTTCAAGTCCTGAACCTCCACAGCCACCACCGTTCGAGGGAAAGGCCTAGTGTCATGCTCTTTCTCCGGTTCTGGAGGCAGCAGCTCCGGGGGCAGTGGAGAGTAGAGGGTGTCCGTGAGTAAGACAAACTGGAACTGGACCTACAAATAGATCATGTAAACGAGACATAAGGGCATAAACAAGGATGAATGATGTGAGCTGATGACGAATAGATTGTAGGTTCAGACATTTTTGGAAACTGAAGTAATGTATCAAAGTTGAATACAGCAGAAGATTTCCACACTCTAATGAAAAACAAATTAAATATTTCCTCTTGCCCCAATCAAGCTATAAATACAAAGTAAGAGCGCATGATAAATCAGAATAGAAATGTTTCTATCTCAAGGCTCCACAGCAAGGGTTATACACATATGAACTGAAAAAAGTGGCATAAACAAGTATAAGAGAAGCAAGTGACAGAAAAAGAACTGATGAAACTGTTCGTGTGTGCTTTTTTTTTTTACTTTAATGAGACAACCGTTGAAAGCTGACAGATGGGTAATGAGTAAAGCAACAGGGATCTGTCTGAGAATATGTAAATACAGCAGAACTTACTGGTAAACTGCCATCACAATGAAAAGCTCAGCCATACACTGTTTTACATCATGTTGTGGCACAGTGGCAGTAAAAAAAAACTGACCTGTCTGTTTTAGAGGCCATTCACACATACATAAACATGCACAAGACCGTCCTTTTAGGCCTTTTTTCAGGGTTTCACACTGGGTGAAGTTAAAAACAGTTCAATGTTTAGATGCCTGACAAATGTTTGCTGTACCTTTTTCTTGAGCTCCACACTGATGGCATTGGCTTCTTTGAGGTATACAGCATTGCCCCACAGCTGGTCTCTGAGGGAGGTGAACTGGTGGTATCTCCACTTCCTGAAAGCCCACTGGGCCAGCTCATACTCATGCTGGGTCCAGGGCACTGCAACAATACAGAAACAACAGTCAAACATGGCACGGCAGTGATATACTGTAGATGGTTGTGATTTTGCCAAGCAGGATGTTCTTATTGTTCCTAGAACAACATTCAATCAAACAGACTCTAGGGTCTGAGAGGTGTAGAGGCTTATCGGCCTATTATCTATGTTCCTCTGATTGTTGGGGTAGTTTTGGTTGGGTTGAGGTTATGGATAGGGTTAGGACAGGAATGTGATTCAAACAATGTTGATTTAGGAACATGTCCTACATGTCCCAGTACACTGCACATAAAAAATCTTTAGAAATATGGTTCATTTCATGCCATAGGGTAGCTTAACAACCACAAATATTAAATTCTGATCCTGACTATTTTGATTTTAGCATTTAAAATACACTACCTTCATCCTCCTCCTCTTCTTCTTCCTCTTCATCTGGGGTCTCTGCAGCCAGTGAGCGAGTCTCCACCTGTTTCTGCAGCTCTTGCAGTTTACTCTCATATACCTTTGAGAAGGTTTGATGAAGAGAGACGACACGATCATATCAGCACGATAAACACTCACTGAACCTTAGAGATAAAGCTTCAGAAGGATGGTTACACTGTAGCTTTAGTAATGGTGTGCCATTTGGCTAGTTCAAGATGACAGAATAATAATTATAATTCTTAAATTACTTTTTTAATGACTTAGACTGAAGTTAAACTAAACGGCACTAATTTTGCACACAGAACTAGACAATAAAGATAATGTTGCTATGCAGCTTCTAGGGTTGCTAGGGCATTGTGAGGTGGCTCAAGCAGAAAAAGCTCACCTCCGAGTCTCTTGTCCCTAGATATGTTGCAAATCCATCCTTACAATAAGTCTATGTGATTGCATAACACAAAAGCTGCAGGATGAGCTACATGCTGAAGTTCAATACTTTAGATTTGAGCAAACCCATAACTTTTATGTGATTAATAGTGAACACTTAAAGTACTTTTAATTTCAGTGTTCTGTCATGGGAAGAACACAGTTCTGATAATATCCAAGACATGAAACCCTTCCTGCACCCCTCCAGCATTTTTAAAAATTCAAAAAAAAAAAAAGGTATGTTCTCTACTGCCGCATCTACTGAAACTGTAGAAACAATTTTCAAGGTGCCTCATATACCTTTGAGAAGGTTTGATGAAGAGAGACGACACGATCATATCAGCACGATAAACACTCACTGAACCTTAGAGATAAAGCTTCAGAAGGATGGTTACACTGTAGCTTTAGTAATGGTGTGCCATTTGGCTAGTTCAAGATGACAGAATAATAATTATAATTCTTAAATTACTTTTTTAATGACTTAGACTGAAGTTAAACTAAACGGCACTAATTTTGCACACAGAACTAGACAATAAAGATAATGTTGCTATGCAGCTTCTAGGGTTGCTAGGGCATTGTGAGGTGGCTCAAGCAGAAAAAGCTCACCTCCGAGTCTCTTGTCCCTAGATATGTTGCAAATCCATCCTTACAATAAGTCTATGTGATTGCATAACACAAAAGCTGCAGGATGAGCTACATGCTGAAGTTCAATACTTTAGATTTGAGCAAACCCATAACTTTTATGTGATTAATAGTGAACACTTAAAGTACTTTTAATTTCAGTGTTCTGTCATGGGAAGAACACAGTTCTGATAATATCCAAGACATGAAACCCTTCCTGCACCCCTCCAGCATTTTTAAAAATTCAAAAAAAAAAAAAGGTATGTTCTCTACTGCCGCATCTACTGAAACTGTAGAAACAATTTTCAAGGTGCCAAGACATCTAGACATTTCACTACATTACATTACATTTATAATACATTGAAATAGTAATGAAAAGTTTCAGGTAGAACAGACTGTGCACCATAAAGAGAGGTATTTTGTGTGCAGTTTCACAAAAAATGTGGTCATATGTAATATTTTCCTGACATTTAAACACAATTCAGTTGTCCCACATAGTTTTATAACAAATGAGAATGTCCTGTCTGTAAATGCAATGTCAAAACAACTGTAAATCCACTTATACAAGATGGATAATAGAAGTGCTCTGGATTTGAAGTCAAACTCCTTTTATATTTAACTTCAAACTTATACCACAACACTGACTAATGGCTGACTGCTGTCATACATCCTAAGAGCTGTAATATGATGAAATGATCATGCTACTAATCTACTAATACACATTTTAAAATTCTTTAAATGTGATTGCTATTAAGTATATGTATATGCTATTAAGTATATATATAGATATATATATATAGATAGATAGATAGATAGATAGATAGATAGATAAAGACATTTGGCTCAGTGTCAACAGTCAGTACATTTGTGACCTGGACCACAAAACCAGTCATAAGGGTAAATTTTTCAAAATTGAGATTTATACATCATCTGAAAGCTGAATAAATAAGCTATCCTTTTGTTAGGATAGGACAATATTTGGCCGAGATACAACTATTTAAAAATCTGGAATCTTTGAGTTTGATATCTTAAATCTGGTTTGAGTCTCGGTACCGGCAGGGATTGTAGGTGGGGGGAGTGAATGACCAGCGCACTCTTCCCCCTTCAATACCACGACTGAGGTGAGACCCTTGAGCAAGACACCAAACCCCCAACTGCTGTGTGTTTGTGTGTTCATTACTCACTGCTGTGTGTGCGCACTTGGATGGGTTAAATGTAGAGCACAAATTCCGAGTATGGGACACCATACTTGGCTACACGTCACGTCATGTCACATCACTTTCACGTTTTTTCACTTTCAAACTTGTCCATTTTATTTCAGTCATTGTTTAAAATTTTTTATATATTCAGCACTGTTCAATGTAATAGCAATATTAGTAAACCATCAACACATCTTTGAGCATTAAAGATCATATGTTGCACAAAAACGCCCCCCTAAACAACACATTATAATACAGGGCCTTTTGGAGGCACTTGATATCATCATTGCATATAGATAAACACTGAACAGACAAGTTCCCTTTAAAAAGGGTAAAAATACATTGTTCGTTTGACTTTATACATTTCCTTAGCTCCTCTTGTGGTAGTTAAGAGTAGCTGGCAGCACCGTGCATTAATGTTAGCATAACATTCTTTATTAGAGCAGGGAAATGGCATGTCTAGATAACAGTTCAAAATAAAGATTATCGAGGAGTGACTTATACTTTCATTTCTGTGCAGCACTGAAAGGTGAAGTGTGTAATTTCTACTGCACTAAACAGATTTTCAAAAAATAATGACCTGTCAACATTTGGGTCCCAAAATACGGGAGATGTTCATGTTGTATGTCCCTCATGACATACAACATGAGGGAATTTGGTTGTTATCAACACATGTGGCGTAACCACAAAAAACAAGAAAAGCAGAAGGGCTTATTGAAAAATGCAAATTCATTCTCTCGTCATTCTTTCGCTTTTCGCCAGGGATATAGCCATTTCCCGAGTAACCGCAGTAAACAAAGCAGCGCAGAACCTGATTTTTCAACTTGCAGCGCTCATATTTAATCAACTAAACCATAGCCTTTTGAAATGCAAGCTATATCTCAATTTGCATATTGTTTTTTTCACCGGAGCACCACCTGAGTCTTCTCCTCCCGTCCCATTTCTACCAGTGATCCTTTCCTTCCCGCGGTAGTCATCACTGTTGTAGGTTGCCAAGTTGAGGGGACAAATGGGTTGAAATTTGTATGTGTCGATTGTGTGAGAAGGATGTGTTTTATACAAGATCTGGCAACTGGGCAACCTTGGAATTTGTTGACGTGATTATTCATATAATGAGGTTTGGACCATACAAATTATGGGAGTTTTTTTCCGGAGGCGAATGTAGCAAACATATAAAACACGCCCAGTGGGATTTTTTTTATAGAAAGATTAAAAATACGGGAGAGATATGGGAAAATATTTAAACGGGATGATAGCGGGACAGAATGGTAAAATACGGGAGAATCCCGGGAAAAACAGGAGGGTTGACAGGTATGATAATGACTGTTTTTCGAACACTCCCCCAATCTGTCATTCGACAGAAATAGAGACAGCCCCGCCACCAAACTGACATCACTGGTTGAGCCACTTATAAAAATTACGCATTTCACCTTTAAACTATAGTCCTGCTTCTTTATTTATCCGGTTTCTTGATTTTACCTTTTGAAGGGAAAGTAATTGTGTTTTATGCACGTATGCATTACTATACCAAAACCCAGGGGTTTCAATAGAAATAAGGCAGTATTTCTGGCAACAAAAGCATTCAAGTTCTTCATTCATATGAAGCAATGCTGAAGCATGGACTTTTGGCCTATTTGGCTAACACTTAGCCATGGAGATGACATGAAGAGGATTTCAGAACATGTGCTTTGGTAATACACAGCTGGTAACGGGTCACACTTGGGTGCCGAGGCACACCAGTGTATAATTATATCAAGGCTTAAGCAGGGAAATCACAGTGGCTTAAGTGTAAGGATGTACAACTACATTAACCATACGTGAACATAATTACGGTGTTAAAAGGAAAAAGCTGTGGTAAATTTAATCAAGTACTCAGTGGCATTACTTATACAGGCTGTGAATTCATGTGAGACTAAAGGAGAAAATAAAACGCAGCGCAGTATATACCTGTCCAGCAAATTTGATTTGGCTTTTAAGGGTTTTTCCTTCCCTAAAAACATGCTACAACTTTCAAAATGAGCCTTGGAAACCATGGAAACTGCCCTGTTAGAGGTCCTTTCCATCAGACGTCTCTGGTGTTTTTTGTGGGCTCGCTTGCCACACAGCGGACACCCGACAATAAATGCAATTCTAATCATGTTAAGATTTAGGAAAAAAGTGTTCTAGAACGCTGTCTCCATCCCGTGGGAACAGTCTGTCCCCCCTATTGAGGATCAGAGTGCAGCAGACAGTTTAGAGGAACAAAAGATGCAAAGCACGCTTTGAAGCAGTTCTTTTACGGCGCTTCACAAAAAAACATTGCCTCTTTGGATATGGATGTTTAGTGCAGAGTGGTTTGTACTCAAAATAAGGCAGAACCAAACTTTAAAAAAAGAGGCAGTTATTTTGATGAAAAAGAAACTTTTTGCCTAATTTAGTGGTGGTGTCTTTATCTTTCACATTAAAAGACTGAAGCAAATTCTGTAAAAATCATTCTGTTTTCTTCATATATTGCTATTACTTATTTTTAAGCGCCAAGTACAAGGAGATAAATGCAATGTTAATGACACATTAGTGAGTCAATAAGGCACTTAAAAACTTTAAAACACTCCTTCACAATCCTTTACTCATCTACATAAGGCAGCTAGAGAAAGGCCTTTGCTGCCACCTTTCATATTCAAACTATTTAATGGGGAATACCAACCCAAGGACCCAAAACTTCATGAAATAAAACAATTTGCATAAAATGTAACAGTAAAAATGTCATTTGCATCTCCGACATGCGTTTTGAAACATTCAAGAATATAAAAGTTTGGCTATTAACCTTCCAGCATTTACTGGACATATCACCCATGCATCTTGAATGCACAAATATGACTGAATTGAAGATTCAGAAACTCAAAATTCAAGTAATGGTTCAAGGTTCTCTCACTGGACAGTATGAAATGTTGCAGTGTAGTGGTTATGTATTCAATTCTTAGATCGATTCAGACCGTCAAGACCAGCAGCAAAACAAAGGTAAACTGAGGCAAATCAGTGTAAAGTACTTCGCAATTCCATGATGGCATCTCAAAAATATACTAAAGTTTTAAAAAAGTTAATACTACAGTCAAGAACTAAAGGGTGTCTTTCTCAAAACTCATATTTCCCAGTACTTTATTGCAAAAAAAAAAGCTTATTTTATGAATCAAGGTTCAAGAACACTGTTCTGAGATCTTCTTGTAGTTTGGACACCTTTAACCAACACACTTATTGCTAGCCTTTTTACCCATATGCATAACTAGCATGGATTGAGGATCAAATTGTTGATGCAAGGTGCTAATGTGATATTTTCCAGGCAGATCATTGCAATTTGAATCTACAAATGACAACAAGAACATTCAATTGCTTAAAACAAGTGTCACATAACAGTTTGACTTGATAGGGACAAGCTGTCCAATGCTGTGATGAGTCTGTGATGTGTGATTTGTAGTGTCAACTAGTTCTGTACATGAACCTATGCCCTGCTTCCAATGTCACACTGTGGTTTCTCGACTGCCCTTCAAATTGGGGGAAGACATTTGCCTACGCATACGGGGTGGCGTGTAAAAATTGTTGTGGTGACTCGGCTGCTGATTGGGTGGGTACTGCTGGTAGTTGTTGATGGCATCAGTATTGTAATGGTAGAGCTGTTGAGTTGGATGCTGTTGTTGTGGATAATGATGCTGGTTTTGGTTGTAGCGTGGCTGGTAAAAGGCCTGTTGGGGATGAGGGGGCTTCCTGTTCCCAGAATTGAGGGATTCTGTAGAGTCAGAGGCTCGCTGACTGCTGTTGAAGGAGTTACTTCGGCCTCGTTCATGGAGTTTGTGGCTTTGATTGTGTCTATGGCCCTGCTCTAAATCTTTGCTTCTACGCTGACCCATGGGACTAGGAAGAGTAGGGTATGTGTGGACGATGGGCACCACTTGTTCTCTGGGCTCTGCAGCCTCCCCTTTGCAGTCTTCCTCTTCCTGGACCGCTTCTTTGGGAACTTTCAACTCAATCACCTGTTTATCTGTGATGATGATATGAGTGCCAGGGGTCCAGGAGTTGCGATGTTTGGGGTTACTCTTGAAGGGGAAGCGCAGCTTGCGGTCTTCAGGTGGGATGAAGCGGTGAGGTCCGTTTTGCCTCCGGAGCTGCTTGGAAATCTCCTGTTGCTGGAGGTTCTTGAGGCGTACCTGCTCTTGTTGCATCCACCGCATATGTCCACGTCGGTACGCAGAATCATCATCCATCATCTTAGACGCCTGCTCATCCGACTGTTCACCGTTGGGTTTCTCCTCAGGAGCTTTACCCTCACTGGAACTGCGGGCCCTCATGGGTGCACTGCGAGCGTTTTTCTCCTGGGACTCGTTGGAAATTAGTGGAATCACTTGCTCCATCTTCAACATCTTATTCCGGAGAGCTATAATCTCTTCGTCCTTCGTGTTGTTCTGCTTTTTCACCTCTTGCAGGATGTCTTCCAGTTTGTCAATGTGCACTTTTAGGTCATCCATGTCAGTTATACCTCGCCCGTTGGTTATGACATCTTCGATTCGTTCATCGCCAACCCCTACAGTGTCCCAGACGTCTCGAGCCACCGCTCTCCAAGAATCTCGTTCATTCGGGTCTTTCTTGTTGTAGGTGGCACAAAGCTCTTTCATTTTTACTATGGCCAGAGCCTCAATCTCTTGACGGGTGTGATGGAAATCGTTCAGAGCCACCTCGTAGCAAATTTCTTTGACTGCCTGGATCTTCAGATCAGAGATAGTCACCCATTTGGAGTCCTTTGTAAGGCGACGACGCTGAGGGATCTGGTACATTTTGACAGGCTCCCGTCTTTTACCGCTGCTGGGTAAACCACACTTTTTGACTATGGTTTGGAGCTTGCTGGGAGGAAGTTTCTCCCGAAGTGAAGTGATGAGTCTCCAGCTCTCCTCGCACGACCTCTTATCAGAGTCGTCACCACTATCAGAGTCTCCATCCTTGAGAGAACAAAACATGAAACAAACCAAAGAGTGCGAAAAACAAAATGGGAAAATTAAAATGGGATATCGAAATCAAAAGGAATGCTTCTGTAAAGAATGGACAGTGTTGTGATATGCAAAATGGGAACAGCTAAATGAGATGATGCTTTGCTAAAATGAGATTATAATGAAAGCAGAAGCACTGGCTACTGGTTTGTTTACGATAAAAGTTAACCTTCAATTTATACATGTACATTTCTGAAGTATTTGTATTATGACTATAAACATCAGATACACAGGATTTCCTAATTACATATGTGAAACTTTCTAGAGATTTTCTAAAATTTTAAGGAATCAATACAACATTAAATGCAGAAAAATGTACAAATCGATCCATTAAGCTGAGAAAAAAATGTCAACCTGCTTGACAATTTCTACCTGCAGGAAAAGACTGCAAGTCGACCACAGATATGAAAATTTGAGAGGATTATTTACTTGCAGATGCATTTGACAATACTCAAGCTTTCTAAACATGGTGATGCTGTTTTTTAGATTTACAGTGTGTAGATACAAATTCAAATCACCGTTATTCCCAAGTTGCATATCACTATAAAAAGTAAATGCAAGGCATGACTTTCATGATCATGAGAAAAATGTCAACAAAAAGGGGATTGATGTTGCTCGATCTACTGTTTTTGTTGTTGCGCTGGTTTCTTTTTTTGTCAAGTTTAAATTCATGACATCCTCTTCAATTAGAGCTCTTGAAAGTTGCACCCCAAACATGCTTCAGTGGCATGCAACAAAGGCTGACGAGTTTTGCTTCATTCCCCCACTTGAAGTCCTTGATAGAGAAGATTTGGTTTTAGAGTTTTTCTAGCTCTAGCAGTGGGTTAGACTCTTGCGTGTTTATTACAGGTCAGTACAGAGAAGAAAAAAAGAGACAGGACAGGCTCGAAGGAGGTTAAAAGCATCGATTTCATCCACTACAGTTAAAGAGGTTAGTTGAGAGAAAATGCAGTTTCTCATTTTCCAGGTCAAGTAAAACAAGGACAATGCAAAAAATCACAGTCAAATAACAAAGGAGACAGCTGGTGACCATGTAATCGTGGCTGTGTAATCAGTGCAGTGTGCGATATCGGTGTTGTTCTGTGTATGAGATTATATGAATGAGACCATCGGAGCATTGGAGAGCTTGTCATCATTAAGACCCCCAGCATGGATAGCTGTGTTATAGCATGCTCTCTGTGCCTGGCCAGACACAGATGTGTAGAACTCAAGGCTACAGATGTCAATGAGAAACCACATTGTCACTAGCCTTCATCAACTACAGCAGAAATCTTGGGTTATGGCAACAATGCATTGGAAATATCAGCAATTGCATTGAGAAAACCAACAAACTCAGATGAAACGAAATCTATTTGGGTAAATCAAATGCTGACTCAAGCTTGACCAGCTTATCAACACTGCTCAGCAACAAATACTAAATGAGGTTCTAAGTACCTTGTAAATTAATCTGTTAAACATGCTACAAAAACAAATCATGCAAAAGCAGCATACAGAATAAACCAAAGAAAAGATTTAAATTAAAGACCCCATGAAAAATGGTGACGGCGTAGTTTGATGTCAACTCTACGATGTAAAAGACCTCCAAATATAATGATTTTTGCAAAAGTAAGTAAATTTAAATAAATATTTGCACAGACCCATTTATACTGTGTGAAAAAATATTAAAATTAAGTGTCATTATGAAGTCAAAATGAAACAACTGACTCGTATATGGTAACCTCTAAAGCAAAAAACTTTTATATCAAATAAAATATCATATACATTTTTTACTTTATATCAAATTAAGTTGACGATGGATCTTTTTTGTCTACTCCCAAAATATTACAGAAAAATATATAACCCTGAAGAATGATATTTAATTTAATTCAAATCTTTTTTTAATATATTCACATTAAAACATTTAATAAATATTTTAAGTTAAATTACAGTTCTAAAACATACAATTGTCAAATTATTTATTTTCTCTCAAAAAAGCTCCCATTTTGATTTCATGGAGTCTTTAACTGGTACATGGCAAACCAATGCCTTACACAACAATGGATTTCATAAAAACACAGATTACTAATTATAAGCCGAATTGGTATTTTTCTGCTGATGCTGTTTTGCAAAGTTACATCTCAAATCTATGAGAGAGAAGTGAAAATTTGAATAAGAAATTCTCGCTAATTCTTGCTGTATCAAACTGAATATGTATATCAGTCCATATCAGCGATGGGCCATCTGCTATCTCAATCCAGACAGAGTGGATTCAGTTACCATGCAAAGAGGTTCAGCCATGCACTGGGAGAAGTGTTTCTCTCTCACACACATACAGACACACAAAAGTCTCAAGTCGTCAGAGCTAATAGTGCAGAATTAGTGCTGGTTGGACTTCAGGAGAGCAAGTACAAAACTAGGGGCCGTTTTACTATTTTTACAAAATTTGGAAGGACAGTTAAGGTCTAACTGAAACGAAAGAACAGGTCCTCTTATAAACAACAGAAAAAACAAGAATTATCAAAGAGATTCAGCCTTACCAGTCTCTGTTGCTCAAGCAGCTGGTCCGCTTCTTCCTTCTCTTTTTTGTACAGGATCTCCATTTCTGTAAGCCTGATATAATACAGTGCGAGACCACTGCATCAAAAAGCAGCTCTTTCTTACAACTCACTGCATTTCCTTTCCGCAACATAATCCTAAAAATCCTTCTTACAATAATCCAATTCATATGTGCTCACATTCCATACCAAGAGCTTAAACGTCACAAAATGTAGATTTTGTCTTCGGTAGCTGCTGGGTGGCCCCAGCTTTGGTTGGCTATCCAACCCTAAACTATGTATTAACTGGAATCCACACTTACTTTGAAAGAATTTTGCGAGTTTGAATACAAATTAAACTCTATCGACAGCATATATAGTATTATGTCAATTACCACAGAAAATAATTGACTCATCCTTAATTTAAAAAGAAATTATATTTACAGTAAGGCACTTACAAAGACAATAAATGTTCAAATGCATATACATGTATGTGTTAACCAGAAACCAGTGTAAACATTTACTATTACTTACTTGCCTGAGGGATGAGTCAAAACCATGTAATTCTTGTAGTGAACATGGAGTTGTCGTTTAATAAAATCTGATGATTTTTAGGGCTTTCGTACCTCTTCTCCATCTCTTGCTTCATGTCGATACCCTGTTTCTCCAGAAGTTCTCTTTGGGCGAAGGTCCAGTCCACTGGCTCTACGGGGGTCTCTGCTGATGGTGTCTTCTCACGCTCAGCGCGAGCCTGCTCAGGGTGGTTAAACCGGAACACATGGTTCTTTCCCATGATAATGCGGTTACCTGAGGAATCAACAGGTTTGTACACACTGGAACAACATAATGGCCTATCAATGTATTGTCCAACTTGAATATGCAAGGCTTGTGATGACAGCCATTTTCGGTTCTTGTAGCTGTACAAAGTCCATTATGCTGCCTGATTCTGGCATTTGTTATCACATTAATGCATTATCGTAATCATAAACACACTGGTCTGTAGCACAAATAGTTTTAATGTTTAATGCATTTTGTTATTCTTCTAGTTATTTACCTACAGAGGCTAATGAGGCACCTTCACAGGAAATAGCTTACCTTTGCATTGAAAACTAAAGTGAATAGTTCCCAGATTAAAATGTTTCATTTGTTTTTTTGTTTTTTTTTCTACAGTACAATCAACCACATTAAACCAGAGCTTAAAAACTGCAGAAATGAAATGTGCAGGCAGCTGTCAGTGAGTCACCTGAGCGCAGTTGGACTGCAGAAGTCACACGTTTTCCGTTCACATATGTTTCAGATCCCTCACATGGCTCCAACATGACAATCACTGCAGAGACAGAAGACAATTCACTACCTCCAGCAGAAAAGCATAATATCAAATGTTCATTGAGTAAAACCACAAAGAACAAAGAAATAATCTTTGACAGAAAAGTTTGTTCATTTGCACCGATTTATAAGCGTTTAACAGCTGAGACGTGAACCGAACACAGTTAAACTGATCTAAAGATGTAAGTGAGCTCTAACCATCTCCGTTGGCATTCCTCTCACTGCGGAAGATACAGTGCTCCTCTTTGATGTGCGCTCCACTTAGAACAATATCCTGTCTTCTTTCTGCATCTGCTTGGCCCACCCTGTCAAAACAAAGACATTTATTTTAATGAACACAGAGATATTCTGACATCCACATCACAGAAACATAACCAAGCATAATGCAACAAGTTTTTAGTGACTAGCCAATTTTCTCACAGCAAACATAAAACTGCTACATGATGTGACACGAGAATTACAGCCAGTCATATTTAATGTTTAATGAACATTATGAGGAACAGGATTTTGGAACAATGAAAATTAGTCTGTAAGTTGAACATTGCCCATAATAAGAAGTCTATTTTAATTGGCGAAGTAGACAAATTCAGGACAGAAAAATCCTTACATCAAAGCAGTAAACAACATCATGTCCTTTGTAGGACCCTTGACTGGTTGGATATGTAGCAATCATAAGATGCCTCAGTGCAACATACAGACAAGAGATTTCTGACAGTTCTGGAAGTGATTTCATACCTCGTTATTCCATCTTTGATATAATAAAGCAGACACTCTGACATCAAAGGATCCTCATTCAGGTTCACCAGGTGAGGGGTCTGTAGGGAAACAGGGTCAATGATAATGTTAGACAAGTCAGACAAAAGTGACTAATGTCACTACAGCGCCAGTTGCATTCAAGGGCCAATTAAAAGGTGAAATAATGAGGTTAAATGCCATTTCAATTATTTATAATGACTCACAGAAAGCCATTAAATGTGGCTTCTTCAACGGCTGATAATGCACTACATTAGCCTCTATCAACTAAATAACTAGAAACTACTGCACATCATAATCTACTAATATACCACCAACCTTTTTGGGTGAAAACACCCCATTAAAGTCAGTATAGAGTTCACAGGGCCTTTCAACGTAAAGCTATTCAGTCAAAATGACAGAAAGATGTCATAGAGAAAAAAAGGAGAGAAATTGAATGAAAGCATGAATAAGCAGGCAAATAAAAACAATTAAATGACAGGGAGGAGATGCCTTGTTTTAGAGGCAGGCTAACTGTGTTGATGTGTTTCAGGGCGGAACACTAAAAAGACAATGCAATTATGGTAAAAGTACTTTCTGGCACACAATGGACCTTGTTTTGCAAGCAAAAGCATCAGTCCCTGATGTTTCCAGCTACTCTGTAGTTATAAATATATTACACCATTTTTATTCTTATACAAATCTGTACAAATACAATACAAATCTGTTGTAAAAGTTGTCTTTACATGTTGACATATACACATCCAATCAGACGTTAAATCAGTATCAGCTCTGAAGGGTTTAACTAATAATTCCAAAAGGCAAAAACTTTTTGTCCTATTTATTAAAAGAACTGATTGATTAGACTCATGAGAGTCATTCGTTTTTGAATCTGTCAAAATCGGTCACGTTGCATGTCGATGCAGGAAACACTATAGCACACTGATGGTGATGTACATTAATCTGTTCATAAAATTAAATTAAATGTGATGTGTGAAAATGTTATCTATTCAGTAATACACAACTATGGCTTGCTACATGAACTCTATTTTTGAAAAAAAAAAAAAAAAAAACTTGAATTCTACAAACCTGATTAGAAGAATAAACACTAAAGTCCTCAATAGACAGTGACGTTGGTCTATCAGGACCAATCTAATAGGATTCCATTGCAAGAGGCAAGCAAAACAAAAGATAAAAGAAAAAAAGAAATGGAAGAATAATGATGGATGATGAAATACGAAGAAAGAAAGGCCCAGACATGAGGAGGTGGTGACTAGTGCAGACAGTAATGGTGAATAATGAAGAGGAGTTTACATGTGTTGTACCTTTTTAGGAGAGAAGACACCCAGGGTTCCCCCGTCCTCCCGTATGGCCACTCCCATCTCTGCCAGCAGTGCCTCTCTGAGGGGAGGGAAGGAAAACATCAGGCTCATGCTGAATGACAGTACATTCAACACCTTTTTATGAACAGTTCGCACTAAAGACATCTGGAAAATATTTCTTGAATATTTGAATGTGCATGTTAGTGTTGAGGTCAGTGTGTTTATGTGCGATTTGACAGCTGCTTAAGTCTGGTACTGACTGGCACCAGCTGAGCATGCAGGCACATAGCAGACACTCCTCATGGGCATTATGGGTATGGGCACAGAGACAATAGGAAGGGAGCCAGATGGCACCTAAACCCTCACTGACCTCTCCATACGGATGGCCTCAGTCTTCCTCAGCTTCTCCTCCCAGGTCTCATTCAGCTCGGCTATGATCTTCTCTGACTCCTGCAGGATGGCAGACAAAGAGGGTCAGCATATTTCAAAGGATAAATTGGAAATATATGCTTTGAGGTATAAAACATGGCCTGAAATGGCTAAATATTGCTGGCACGATAAAATGTATATAGATATAGTAGACTATATACATAATCTACACTAGCTTTCAAAAGATTTTTTAATGTTTTTGAATGAAGTCTTTTATGCTCACCAAGGTTGATTTATTTGATCAAAAATACAGTAAAAAAACAATATTGTGAAATATTATTACAATTTTAAAGAATTGGTTATGGTTTCAAGTCCGTGTGCAATGGGACAACTGCCTGATGTGGGGTCAAGAGCAGTAAACACAGTTAAATATGGGAAGCCCAACACTCATTTTCCTCTATTGTATCTGGCCCTTATTGTCCCTGGCCAGGAGGAAGACCAGAACCATCTGGCCTAAGGGACAGGAAGCTCCCCCTAGATCCTTCCTAAAGGGTTAACACCCCTGCCATCTGTTCATGCAGAAAGTAACACTGTGGCTTCTTTAAACCTGTGAGTTGATCCTTCTGACAAACCCAGATAACTACAGAGGACAGAGGACTATACATATACACTACTAGTTTGGAATAATTGTATATGGGAATACAGGGAAATATTATTACAATTTAAAGTAATTTAATTTTGTTTTAATATATTTAAAAATATATATCATTTATTCCTGTAATGGTAAAGCAGCAGTCATTACTTCAGTTTTCAGTGTCACACGGTCCTTCAGAAATCACTATAATATTTCACAAAATTACTTCTATTTACTTCTTTCAGAAACATTTTAAAAATCCTAATTATTCCAAACTATTGATCAGTAAGTAATGGATTGTAAGCAGGGCAATCACAGATGACATGTAGTGACTGGTTTGCATGTGAATCATACAGGACAAACTGACATCGATCTGATTATGTTATTGATTAAGGTCAATGCTCTCACATTTTATTATACATCCATATGTTTGGTTGATACAAAAGAACAGGTCTATTTCTGTCTGATTTTCTGCCGAACTGCGTCAGAGGCTGACGTCACTGGTGTGAGCCACTTGCCGTAACCATGGAAACTAATGCCTGGAAGCTCTAGCCACGTATATTTTTTTCTCTCTCTTTTCGTCCTTTACCATTTCACACATTTACAGAGAATCTCAGTGAATGGCATCAAGCCACTGGTGGGAGGGAAAGTAGGACTTCTTTTTATATATATATATATAATCAGGGGTTAAATTGGGATTTGATATGTGGGGGGGCTTTATGGTGTCGGGCTTATATATACAGTATCTCACAGAAGTGAGTACACCCCTCACATTTTTGTCGCAATGAATCGGCTGGTTGCTGTGAGATGCGCTGTGGTTTGGCCTAAAAGTGACCTAATATTATTGTACTTGCTTATTGAACTGTTTATTGAACTATTAAACAGTCGTAATGGTGAAAACGTTGTGT